TTTAGTCTTGACAAACGGAAACACTCTAAAAAAAATCTTTGATAATTTTGCCTCCGTTACTTAAACGTTCCTTTTGGACTACGTTTAGACTTCTACGCTTTGTATACAAATATTTATTACACAAAGAAAAAAAACAATACGGAGTATATAGTATATATATTTATTACACGATCCACATGCCTTTTGCGTCACCGTCCAATATCCACCGTTGTCTGTCACCACCAAACACCTTTATTCTGGGTTCTTGAGTGAACTTTTGATTTTCTCGTGCGAAGAAAACCCCACGACGAAAGTTTACAAATTTCGAAACTTTTCTTCAAGATTCTCAAAAGCCCCATTTTTATAAACCCGCTTGAGATTTTTGGTTCTCATACAAGGAGTTTGTTCCTCGTGCTGTGATGGGTGCGAGTCACTCTGGTCTCCTTCACAATGATTCTTCCTCGTCTTCCTGTTTTGGTAATCGGAATCTCTCAAAAACTGGTTTAGGAGATTTGCCGGAAGCTTGTGTAGCTCTGATTGTTGAGAATTTGGATCCCGTTGAGATCTGTAGATTCTCGAAGCTCAATCGGGCATTTCGAGGTGCTTCATGGGCTGATTTCGTCTGGGAATCGAAACTTCCTCAGCATTACAGGGATTTTCTCGAGAAAATATCTGGTGGGTTCCATGAAAATCTGCAGAAAAGAGACATTTACGCTCGTCTCTGTAGGATTAACTCATTCGATGGGGGCACTAAGGTTCGTCTTCTTCACATACTCTCTGTAATGTTTCTCCTTTGGGGTTTATCTGCCTTCCCTTGTAAAGTTTAGGGCTTTTTCTTGAATTAGAAACTTGTTCAATATGTTAGAAACTTAATAGTATTTGCGAATGCTTTTTTGATTGTGCAGAAGGTGTGGTTAGATAAACGAACCGGTGGTGTTTGTCTAAGCATTTCAGCTAAAGGATTATCCATTACTGGAATTGATGATCGTAGATATTGGAATCATATTCCCACTGATGAATCTCGGTGAGATTTTCTCACTCTTCATTCTTTTCTCATTGAGTTTCATCCAAATGAGATTTTTCTCGGTGTTCAGTGATCACTGTGGCATTTGCTTGATATGATTGCTTGACACTCACTCAGTTACTAGTCAAAAGTATTTTTCTTTTTCCCTAATTTGTGTGTTGATGAAGTGCTTGATTTGATTGCCTAACACCAAGCTCTTCAAAAGCATTATTTTTCGGTTTTCCCCTGAATCTGTGTGTTGATCATGTGGTTTCATACACAAACTATTTGTAATTTCTCCTTTGAAGTTTGTTTGTTTTTTTCTGGTCATGTTTCTTTTGGTTAAACTCCTTTATACAATGAAAAGATCCCACTTTTCTAATCAAATTTTGTAATATATATATGGGAATCGATTCGTTATGGTCTAAAATTCGTCTTTTCCAGTTAAAAGTTAACATTTTTTCGGGTCAATCGAGTCTCATTTCACAACCCTATCAGTGGAATTTTTTCAAGATCATTCATTTTGATTGGTAAATGTGTATTGAAATTAATTATCTTGTGTTCTTATGATCTGTTCTTTCCGTGAGGTTTAAAGGAGACTATTTTTATCGATTCTTGCAGGTTTTCTTCTGTAGCTTATCTTCAACAAACTTGGTGGTTTGAAGTTGATGGTGAAATTGATTTCCCTTTCCCGGTTGGAACCTACAGTATCTTCTTCAGGCTTCAATTAGGTCAGTCTGGCAAGTGGTTTGGTCGACGGGTTTGTAATACAGAACAAGTCCATGGTTGGGACATTAAACCGGTTCGGTTTCAACTCTGGACCGAAGATGGTCAATATTCCTCGTCTCAATGCATGTTAACCGAGCGGGGAAACTGGAATCACTACTACGCTGGAGATTTTGTTGTCAGGGAATCGAAAAGCTCATCGACAAAGATAAAGTTTTCGATGACTCAGATCGATTGTACACATACCAAAGGCGGGTTATCTCTAGACTCTGTAATTGTATACCCGAGCTCGTGTAAAGACCGGTTGAAGCGGTTTTAATGCTTTAACCGAAGTCGGTTTAGTGAGAGGTTAAAGCAGGTTTTTTATGCAGTTCTTTAGCCTTTTATAGATGTAGTAGTTAGAGGCTTAGAGCTCCTTTTCTAGAGAGAACTTTTGTTATGAACTTATTATTTTGTTGTCTGATTGAGTTTTGAGGCTGCAAAAACTGTAATAATATGTAGTGGTTATGAAACTAAATCATCTTGTTATAAATTAAAATTATGAAATATGTTACAAAGTTAACAACTCGGATTGATATGTATTTTCGTACCTCACAGAAACATTATAACGGCAAAGTAATAGATGTGAGCAAGTTCTTTGCGGCATTTCGACGAACATGTTGTGGGCGATTTTGTTGGGGACTTCGAAGTTAACCTAATTCAGCTGAAGAAATGATGACGTTGAGGACGATAAGGCGGTCGATTACTCTTAATCTGAAAGGTTTGAGATTGGTTCAGTCTCATCTCTTGGAGACAGGTACGCTTAGAACTGATTTGCTCTGTAGCTTTTCTTGCTACTTGTCTTGCTGCGAACGAGACTTGTCTGGTATTAGCAATGGGAAAGTCTGTTTTAGAGAGAGATTGAGAAATGGGATTGTTGATATTAAGAGAGATGATGCTATTGCTCTGTTTCAAGAAATGATTCGGTCTCGTCCTCTACCTACGCTCATTGATTTCAGTAGATTGTTTAGTGGTATTACTAGAACAAGACAATACGATCTCGTGTTAAGGCTCTGCAAGAAAATGGAACTGAATGGGATTGGACATAATATCTACACTTTGAATATTATGATCAATTGTTTTTGTAAGTGTTGTAAAACTTGTTTTGCTTATTCTGTTTTGGGGAAAGTCATGAAACTTGGGTATGTGCCTGACACAACCACGTTTAACACTCTGATCAATGGACTATGTCGCGAGGGTAAAGTGTCCGAAGCTGTGGTTTTAGTCGATAAAATGGTGGTAAACGGATGCCAACCCGATGTGGTTACTTATGGTTCGATTGTAAATGGAATATGTAAATCAGGAGATACTTCTTTGGCCTTGGATGTTCTCAGAAAGATGAAAGAAAAATATATTGAGGCCGATGTAGTTACGTACAGTACAATCATTGATAGTCTTTGTAGAGATGGATGCATGGACGCTGCAATCAACCTGTTCAACGAAATGGAAACGAAAGGGATCGAATCTAGTGTTGTTACTTACAATTCTCTTATAGGAGGTTTTTGTAAAGCCGGTAAATGGAATGATGGTGCACAGTTGTTGAGGGATATGGTCAGTAGGAAAATCATCCCTAACGTGGTTACTTTTAACGTATTAGTTGATGCTTTTGTCAAAGAAGGGAAGCTTCAGGAAGCTAAAGAGTTGTACGAGGAGATGATCACAAGAAATATATCTCCTGATATGATTACTTATAATTCCTTAATTGATGGGCTTTGCATGCAGAACTGCCTTGACGAGGCCAATCAGATGTTGGATCTTATGGTTAGGAATAATTGCAATCCCGATATTGTGACTTTGAATAGCTTCTTAAAAGGGTATTGTAAGGCCAAAAAGGTTGACGATGCTTTGCAATTCTTCCGCGAGATTTCTAAGAGAGGATTAGTGGCCAATACAGTTACTTATAGCATTCTTGTCCAAGGGTTTTGTCAATCCAGGAAACTTAAGATGGCCGAAGAACTTTTCGAAGAAATGGTTTCACGCGGTGTTCTTCCTGATGCTATGACATATGGTATTTTCCTTGGTGGCTTGTGTGACAATGGGAAGCTTGAAAAGGCATTGGAGTTATTTGAGGATTTGCAAAAGAGTAAGATGGGTCTAGATATTGTTATGTATACTATCATCATTGAGGGGATGTGCAAAGGTGGAAAGGTGGATGATGCATGGACTTTATTCTGTAGCCTATCTTCGAAAGGAGTGAAGCCTAATGTTAAGACATACACCGTAATGATTTCCGGATTATGCAAGAAAAGATCACTGCCTGAAGCAAACGTCTTGTTTAGAGAAATGGAGGAGGATGGGCACGCGCCAAATGATTGTACATACAACACACTAATCCGGGCATATCTTCAAGATGGTGACTTAACCGCATCAGCTAAACTTATTGAGGAAATGAAGAGTTGTGGATTCTCAGCAGATGCTTCCACTATTAAGATTGTTATTGATATGTTAGCGAGTGGTGAATTGGACAAAAGCTTTCTGGATATGCTTTCTTAGGGGTTTGGTGTTTTGTCATTATTGTCTCAGAGCGATGAAAGGTTTTTGGCTTGGCTAACATGCAGGAATTGTATTCGCAAAGGTTAGTTATGCGTGCCAATATTTGATCTAATGAACATGTTTGTGAGATGATTGATCACTGAAACTTAGAATCGTTCTTCTGCTTGTTTATGTTTGCAGGTTCAAAAAGCCGGCAAGATTTCCTGGAATTGAGTGTTTGCGAGGTACTTGGGCTTTAGTAGCTACACCTTTGTTAATATCCTTTTTCCTTGGCAGCTTCTCTTATATATTCTGACTTTTGCTGTAAAACCATCTCTGTTTTATGCAAACTCTGAAACCAAATCCTTTGTTGATTTCTGGTTAGCCGTTCACCGCTATTACTGCTTCTCGAAACTCCTTCACAAATCCGACAAATTAAGGAGATGCTCTTCACTCCTTCGACGCCCAATCTGTGATAGCTTTCAATCTGTTATTAGCTTTCATGAACCACTCAAAGACAAACTCGAAGGTCTGTGGTATGAATTCATCTGAGCTGCACTGAGATCAACGGTTCTAAAGAAGTTCAAGAACATGGAAGTTAGGGTGCGCATGAGTCATGACTAATGAGCTCTCATATATCTTTTCTGGTGAATGGATTCTCAGCATATACATTCAGTTGATAAAATGTAAATGAATCGGTTATTGGGAATATGATTACCGGTTCTATTTTGTTTTTCTCGGAACCGGGATTTATGTTCGGTTCCCCTAAAAGCACATTTTTTTCTACTCAGAGAAATCCATCTTCGTGTGCCCTAAGGAGAAGACGATGGCGATGATGATTCAGAGATTGAGGAGTGGTAAAGCTTTGAAATTTGTTCATACCCATTTCCATGATACAGGTATTCTGAGAAATGTTTTATTACATTGCCCAGACGAGCTCTTGTATGTCTGCGAACGAGACTTCTCTTCTGGTCTCATCGATAGAAATCTCTCTTACAAAGATAGATTGAGAAGTGGGATTACAGAAATTAAGAAAGATGAGGCTATTGATCTGTTTCAAGAAATGATTGGGTCTCGTCCTCCACCTACGCTCTTTGATTTCTGTAGATTGTTTAGCGTATTAGCCAAAACAAAACAGCATGATCTCGTGTTAGTTCTCTCCAAGCAGATGGAATTGAATGGGATTGCACATAATTTCTACACTCTGAATATTATGATCAATTGCTTCTGCCGGCGCCGGAGACTCGGTTTCGCATTTTCTGTTATGGGAAAGATTGTGAAACTTCGGTACATACAACACACTCATCAGGGGACATCTCCGAGGTTGTGATGTAAACACTTCAGTTGAACTGATCGAAGAAATGCTTCCACAATGAAGATGGTATTTGATAGGCTATCGCGTGGTGAATTGGACAAAAACTTTCTTGATATGCTTTCTTGTATGTCTTGATGTTATATCCAAGATATGAAGTCTCGGTTAGTGATTTTGTGACATATCGTCGGATTAAATTTAACCAACTTTGTTTGTCCCCATCTAAACAGAGTTCAGAGGCTGATGTCTTCTCCTTAATCTCGCTTTTTCTTTCTCTTCTATTCTCTCTTACAAAGAGAGATTGAGAAGTGGAATTGTTGATATCCAAAAAGATGATGCAATTGATCTGTTTCAGGAAATGATTCGGTCTCGTCCTCGACCTACGCTCTTTGATTTCAGTAGATTGTTTAGTGGCATTGCTAGGACAAGACAATACGAACTCGTGTTAGGTCTCTGCAAGAAGATGGAACTGAATGGGATTGGACATAATATCTACACTTTGAATATTATGATCAATTGTTTTTGTAGGTCTTGTAAAACTTGTTTCGCTTTCTCTGTTGTGGGAAAGATGATGAAACTTGGGTTTGAGCTTGACACAATCACGTTTTCAACTTTGATAAACGGATTATGTCTTGAGGGTAGAGTTTCTGAAGCTTTGGAATTATTTGATCGAATGGTGGAAATGAGACACCAACCCAATCTCATAATACTTAACACTCTAATCAATGGGCTTTGTCTCAAAGGTAGAGTGTCTGAAGCGGTAGATTTAATCGATCGAATGGTGGAAAATGGCTATCAACCGGATGCAAGTACCTATGGTCCGATTTTAAACAGAACATGCAAGTCGGGGAACACTGCCTTGGCCCTGGATTTTCTCAGAAAGATGGAAAAAGGAAAGATCAAGCTCGGAGTAGTCCAATACAGTATCGTTGTCGATGGTCTCTGCAAAGATGGGAGAGTGGACGATGCACTCAACCTTTTCAATGAAATGGAAATGAAAGGGATCAAAGCAGATGTCTGTACCTACAACTCTCTCATTGGAGGCTTTTGTAACGCCAGTAGATGGAATGATGGTGCACAGTTGGTGTCGGAAATGATCACAAGGAAAATCACCCCGAACGTCATCACTTTTAATTTATTGATTGATAGTTTTGTGAAAGAAGGGAAGCTTCTAGAGGCCAAAGAATTGTACAGTGAGATGATTACAAGAGGTATATCTCCTACTATTATTACATATAATTCTTTGATAGATGGCTTTTGCAAGGAGAACCTCCTAGATGAGGCCAGTAAGATGATGGATCTGATGGTCAGCAAGGGATGCGATCCTGATATCGTGACTTATAATATCCTTATAAATGGATATTGTAAGGCTAAGCGGGTTGACAATGGTATGAGATTTTTCCGTGAGATTTCTTTGAGAGGACTGGTTGCAGATAGATTCACTTATAACACTCTCATCCAAGGGTTTTGTCACTCGGGAAAACTGAAGGTTGCCCAAGAACTCTTCCAGGAGATGATTTCTCGAGGTGCACATCCTAATATTGTAACCTACAAAATTTTGTTAGATGGGTTGTGTGACAATGGGAAACTAGAACAGGCGTTGGAAATATTTGAGTATTTGCAGAAGAGTAAGATGGATCTTGATATTGGTATCTATAATATCATCATTCATGGGATGTGCAATGCTAATAAGGTGGAACAAGCATGGGATCTATTTTGTAGCCTCCCTCTTAAAGGAGTGAAACCCGACCTCAAAACATACAACGTGATGATGTTGGGATTTTGTCAAAAAGGCTTGCTGTCTAAAGCAGACATGCTGTTTAGAAAAATGACCGCGGATGGGTATGCGCCAGACTGTGGTACATACAACACACTCATCAGGGCACATCTCCGAGGTTGTGATGTAAACACTTCAGTTGAACTAATCGAAGAAATGAAGAGGTGTGGGTTCTGTGCAGATGCTTCCACTATGAAGTTGGTAGTTGATAGGCTATCGAGTGGTGAATTGGACAAAAGCTTTCTAGATATGCTTTCTTGAATGTGTGATGTTATCTACAAGTGATAAATCCATCTTTCTCTCTTTCTTGTTTTGCCTCTGATTCACTGCTGATGTATAATTTTGTTCTGGCTTTCAGTTGTGTATAGGCGTATTGACGAGTGCTGAAACTTGATGTGCAATGATGTTTATTTCAATTAAAGATGATGATTTCTTAATTTTGGCTGAATCATATTCTTGAAAAACTTTTCCTCCTTTAGGACATGTCTCAAGTCTCCTATCAAAAACACGATCATTTGTTTTACTTTGTTTAGCCTATACCAAAGGTTTCTCTGGAGAATTAGGAAATAGAAACCACAGAGAAAAAGGAAATTGAGTCTCTTACCAGTTATATAAATACAAACACTAAATCTTAGGTTAAACCCTATCGTTCTCTTATTGCTTATCTTTCACGCTATGACGTCTCGTAAAGCCCTTGTGCCTCCGGAAAAACCAAACACTGCGACGTTTTACGATCCGTGGTTCAAAAACCGTTCCATCGGAAGAGGCATACATGATATTGAGATCAACAAAAACTTTGCCAAGTTATCGGAAGTGTTATATGAAGCTGAACAAAGAGCTAGTGAGGCTATTTCGATGCGGTTAGAGGTGCAAAAG